GTGCTGTGTAGCTGAGTGCATCATCGGGCTCAGGTTCTGCGGCGAGACGTTGGGCAGCAGGTGGCGTGAAGCTGGCTGCTGGCTCGAGCGATGGTGTAAGTTCCAAGCCAGGAGTTAGGTGGGCTCCTGGACATCCAGTTCCTTCGGTAGTGGCCACGGGATGCGGGTGAACCAGCTTCCGAACCCAGCGACCGACACGGGAACCCGCAGCATGGGGCGCCGTGCGAGTGTTGGGGGAGCGTATGGGATCTGTGGCGTTGCATAAGGTTTCCCAGAGAAGGCCGAGGCTGAATCGCATGGCGCCCGCGTCTTGGAATCGGTTGGATGGGAAGCTGGGGGCGCCACGTAGAGCAGGCCTTCTGGTTCGTCTTCTTGGCCAGGAGATGGTCGCGCACTGGGAAGTGCTACGAATCAGAGGGCTGGAGTATCGAGTTCGAGGGGTTCAGGTGGCGTGACGCTGACCGTGTTTTCGGGATCGCCCCCAGGTGTTTTAGCATACGCCAGACGGTTCAAAGGCAGGATGTCGGGCGGTTCCTAAGGCATGGGTCCGGGGGGAAGCAGGGGGCGCCACAGTGGGCAGCTCTATTGGGCCTTCTATTGGAGTGGTTGGCTTCGAGGTATCATGTGGCGTGAGGCTGAGTGAGGCTAGAAACTTGCGCCAAGACAGCTGTATGGTCGGTCGCCCAACAGGAATTCCAGAGGTTCCCATACTTGTTGTGTTGCGGTAGCAGATGGTCACCACGGGATGCGGGTGAACCCACCCCGATGCAAGCGACAGTCACGGGAGTCAGCCGCCTGGGTCACCGTGCATTTGTTGGTGGTGGAAGAGGAATCCAGGCGGTGCACCCGTTTTCCATGAGAGAGCGGAGACGACGACGCTTTGCGCTTGCGCTATCGAATCGTCTGGAGGAACGGGAAGGGACGCCTCAATGAGCATATCTCTGATGCCGTCTTCAGGGTCCGGAGTTGAGGGCAAGGGGCAAACTATGATGTGTCTCTAGCGTCGACAGTTGGCAGGTGTGGTCCTCGCGTCTATCTCGAGGGTGTGGCGAGCAAGGCTCGACATCGGGTCTCGGAAGTCTTGGGCCCGCACAGTCGTTGCCAGGATCTGCCTCGCGCAAGCGTGCGTTCGTTCCGTCGGAAACGCCTCCAGTAGGAGATCGCTGGTTTGAATTTGACACGCGCAACTGTATTGCGTGGTCGGCGGGGCAGTCCTTAATGGAACGGCTGCATCAGGCAGGAGCAAGGCCTCGCGCCAGATGCAACCTTGTTCTGGAAGACGAGGACGTCGAGCACTTCGTCTGTTTAGGCTCGCATTTGGGACAGCGCGGCAGGATTTGCCATGCCCGCCCAGATTGGGGGGGCAGGGTCTTTGGAGCGCCGGGAACATTCGGTTGAGTGGCAGCGCTTGTTTCTACGCGCCGTGGCCTGGCTGTTTTGGGGCCGCCCCCAGTCCGCCCCAAGCCGCCGCAGACTTGCGCGCCAAGTCACGGGTGACAGGGAGGTTTGCGTTTTGTTTGCTATTGTTTTTCGCGTCACCTCCAAGCGCTGAGAGTTGAAGGAGGTTGCTCGGTCGGCCCAGCTCCCCGCTCATCATGGCGGGAAGCCGGGCCATGGCGTCGCTGGAGCAAGACGCAGCGCGGTGGCGCGGCGAGTTTGCAGAATTGGCTCGTTTCAGCCCTGTCCCATCATGGAAGGGCGCGAGGCCGCGCCGCGGCCGGTCGCGGCCGCGCGCCACGTGCGCGTCGCATTGAGAGTTGAGCGCGGACCCCGCAGGGGCCTCGCGCAGCGGCCCGACGCGCCCTCTCGCGAATTCAGAGGCAGGCCGATGTCTTGCACCAGATTGCGCTCGAGGCCTTCCCCCGCCGAGTTGGAGGCCTGAGATGGAGCCGATGCCGGTGGCAAGGGGCCCCCGCCAGTGCCAGCTTGAGTCAGGAGGGATGGGGGCGGGGATGGGGCCCGAGGGATCTTCGCGCTGGTGGAGTGGTTTGGGCGGGCGGAGCGACGGCCATGCGAGCGCCGCGGAGCGGTGGCCGTAGATCGTCAGGAGCACCGCGGGCGTCGCGGGGCCCGCGAGATAGCGCGAGCCCCGCAGTCGCTGCACGGGGCAGCGCGCTGCAGTGGCAATCTCTGCGCCGCGCGCTTGCTCAGCCGCTTTCCTTGCCAGGGCGCAGCGATGGGCTGGGGCGCCGCCTGCGCGCGCCCATCCGAGGCTGGCGCCATCGTCCCCGGGCCCGAGAAGAGGAGCTCACCGGCTTTCTTTCGGCGCGGCATTTGGAGGTCCTGAGGGGCCCCCGATGGGCCCGACGCGCTCGCGCGTCTAGCCGAGGCACGCGGCGGCATGTTCCGATGCCAGAGAGGGCGAAGCAGGAGCGGCAGGACCTCTGCTTACAGTCGGTAGCGCGGGAAGGCCTGCAGCGTCTCCAATAGCTCAGCCCTCGAGTCTACCCCGAAGGGGGGGGGGGGGGGGCGAGGAGGGCGGCGGGGCCCCTTTTGTCGGGCAGCAGGCGTAGTCTCAGATTCTCAGGAGCAGGGGTCTCGCGTGTCGGCCCCGAGAGGCGCGGCGAGGCCCCTCCGGCGGAGCGGGGCGTCACTGGCGATCTTCCCTTGATCGCGGCAGAGCAGACGCAGGCGTCTTGCAAATCTTTCGGGCGCCGGGAGCTTCTGGGGAGGGGCGGGCTTCGCCTCGCGCAGCGGGGTTAGGCGCGGATGGAAAGTGCCCGGAGAATGGCCGACGCGCGCATTGCATGGGGAGCCTCGGCCGCGAGCAAATCGGCGCAGGCCCATGTTGATCGCGCGTCTAGGAGAGCCCGATCGCCCCACCCCCTCGCGGACCGCCTGCGGGCCAGAGCGCGCTCCGAGATCAGGCGCCGAGAGTGCCGCCTGAGCAAGCTGCCGGTCGGGGCAAGGTGGCTCAACGGCCTGTGACGAGAGCGTCTGGATTCATTTGACTGAAGGCCCCGTCGGTGGCCTCGGCGCGCTGGACCTTGCGATGTATCGGACCTGCGAGAGCCAACCTTTGAGCCAGTGTTTGGTGAGCCCCAGGGCCCCAGGGCCCAGCGCGTTCACAACGAGTGCTCCCATTGGAACCGGGCGCTGCTGTGTAAGACGGAGCCAACTCTCGCGGAGGCCAGGTGGCGCGTTCAAGGAGGGCAGGGCAATTTGTTCTTCGACAGGGTGTTTCGCTGTCATGGCCACAGAGCTTGGAGGACGGATAACCAGGGGATCCGGTAGACCGTCCGCGCATGCGGACGGTGGATGCCCCGTTCCAGCAGAGAGGACGCTGGCGCGGGGTTCAAGCCCGAATGAAAAGTTAGGTTCCGAGATGCGGACCCGCCTGCCCCATTGGCGAGAGGGTTCGTTTTAGTTGACAGCTCCGGCTTCGAGGGGGATTTCCGTCGACCAGGCTCGCGCGATTGCGGCCGCCCTGTTCGGGTCCGAAAGGGGGTGATCTGGTGCGATCTAGCGCGCCCCCCCCGCCGTGCCAGTGTCCCAGCAAGTGGCCCGTGACGGGGGGATCTTCGCGCTCTTGCAGGTTTCGGAGATTGTTATTGGGCAGTAGCAGATGCTGAGCGTCTGCGTGTAATGGCACCATCAGTCCTGGCACTGCGCCGCCCATGGCGCAGCCGCCCGCGATTGCCAGGGCGCGCCATCGGAAAATAATGATCGAGAGGAGTTCAAGCATATATCTTTCGCAGCGACAGAGATCTTTCGCATGTGAAGGGGCGCTTGACCTTTCGCGGCGAGCAGGCAGGTGAGCTCCCCCAATTCCACCTCCGTGGGAACTCCCGGTCATATGGTTTTACGAAGAAATGCGCGTTGCTGGCCCCTGCGAGCGACGCTGATGTGCACGCCCTGGACGGCTTCATTGCGGCGGCCAGGCGAGTTGCGACGCATGTCGCTTGGCTTGTTGTGATGGCGGTGGAGACTCAGTGGCGAAGCCGCCGGCCCTTCGAATGTTTGAGGAAGATGGACTTCGGAGATGTGCCGGGATAGTTCCATAAGTTCATGGAGGCCCAGGACCCAGCTTCTGCCGAGTCCCAACATCCTCTTTCGGCTGGGCCTCCTCCTGCTGGTCCTGGCGCTGCCGCCGCCGCGGCTTCGGCGGTGGATGTGGGGGAGGGGGCAGCCATGGCGAAAAGGTTGCCCCACCAGAACCTATGGGAAAAAATGTCAATGGTCAGGGTATCTGGGCGGCCAAGACGGTCCCCGAAGGGATGCCAAGTTCTGTTGGCCCTATGCTGTCAAGCAGAATCAGAGAGGCCTCGAAGGGTTGTGTACAGTGCCCCGCAAATTGTCTGAAGGGGGCTGCGTACACGGCCCTCGGGAGGCTTCATATTGGCGAGCACCCCATCGAATGTTGGCGCGTTGTTTGGGCAGGTCGGCGCCCCTTCACAGGCCACCCAGGTGAGTCGGCTCAGCCACGTCGGCGCCGTAGTGGAAGGGTGGCAGACCCAGGATGTCTCGAGAGTGCCTCCGTTCATCGCGCAGTCGGCCCCAGTGAAAATGGAGTTGGCTGTGGTGCTGTTGTCCTTTGCCTTCGGTTCCCAAGCTTGAGAAACTAGGAGTCGCTGAGCTGGCTGGGCTGCTCGGGCCTTGGCACGGTCTCGCAAATCAAAAGAGGAACCTCATCCCGAGGATCTGTGATTTTAATTTTGGGGGTTAGCCTGTCGGCGTGGCCGTGCCTGGAGGGCGGGACTTCAGGCGCGAACCAACACATTTTCTTCGGATCGACACCCTACCCCAATTGTCCTTCTCTTTCCCTTGACGTGTTCCCTCTGTGGGAAGCTCTACTCCTCCCTCGCCCTCTCCTCCACCTCCTCCTCTCCCTCCTCCTCCTCGTCCTCCTCTTCCTCCTCCCCCCTTATTTCTCTACTCATCATTCCTTTTCCTCCTCCCTCGCCCTCTCCTGTTCTTCTCCTCTTCCCCCTCCTCCTCTTCTCCTCCTCTCTTCTTCCTCCTTTTCCGGCACGCCACCGCCCCTGCGACCCCCGCGGTAGGTGCACGAGTGTTTCGTCGCCCTCTTGGGCGTCGTGTCGTTTTTCACCAGGGAGGCCAGCGGTCAGGGTTTGGCGGGCAAATTCACGCAGGACGCGCTCGTCGGCGTCGCTGCCATCGGGGGAGTGTGGCATATACGAGGATGGGGAGGGGAAGGGGGAGGAGGAGGAGGAGGAGGAGGAGGAGGAGGAGGAGGAGGAGGAGGAGGAAGAGGAGGAGGAGGATCAGGAGGAGGAGGATCAGGAGGAGGATCAGGAGGAGGAGGGTCAGGAGGAGGACAAGGAGGAAGAGGATGATGAGGAACAGGCCCAGGACCAGGACCAGGAGCAGGAGGAAAACGAGGAGGAGAAGGAGGAAGAGGAGCAGGTACAGGAGGAACAGGAAGAGGAAAATGAGGAGGAGGAATAGAGGAGGAGGGAGGAGGAGGAGGAGGAGGAGGAGGAGGAAGGAGGAGGAGGAGGAAGAGGAGGAGGGGGAGGGGGACGAGGAGGATAGGACTATGAGGGAAAAGGAGGAGCAGGAGGAGGAGGTGGAGGAGGAGAGGAGGAGGAGGAGCAGGAGGATGCAGAGGAGGAGGATGAGGAGGTGGAGGTGGAGGAGGAGGAGGAGGGAGGAGGAGGAGGAGTAGGAGGAGGAGGAGGAGGAGGGAGGGTAGTGGAGGAGGAAGACAAAAAGGGGGAGGGGGAGGAGGAGGATGAGGAGGAGGAGGAAGAGGAGGAGGAAAAGGGGGAGGAGGAGGACGAGGAGGAGGAGGAGGGGGAGGAGGAGAAGGAGGAGGAGGAGCAGGAAGAGGAGGAGGAGGAGGAGGAGGAGGAGGAGGAGGAGGAGGCGGATGAGGTGCAGGAGGAGGAGCAAGAGGAGTGGGAGGAGGAGGAGGAGGAGGAGGCGGAGGAGGAGGATCAGGAAGAGGAGGAGCAGGAGGAGGATGAGGATGGATACTGAGAAACAGAGTAATAGAACGAGGAGGAGGAGGAAGAGGAGGAGAAAGAGGTGGCGGAGGAGATGGAAGAGGAGGAGGAGGAGGAGTAGGAGGAGGAGTAAAAGGAGGAGGAGGAGGAGGAGGAGGAGGAGGAGGAGAAGGAGGGGAAGGAGGAGGGGGAAGAGGAGGAAGAGGCGAGGGGAGAGAGGCTAGCTGGGCGAACACGTGCCATAGGGGACATCATATTGTTGTTTCCCACCCATCCCTTTCAACTGCGTTGATATGTTCTGTATCCGCCGACGGGTGTCATGGCGGACGTTGGCCCCCCAGGAGCACCTCTTCGTCTTTTGTGTGGCCAGGGGAGGGGAGCTTTGTACAGTGGGGGAGGAGGGGATGGGGGGCACGCAAGAGGCTGAGTAAGAGGAAGAGGATGGAGATGAGGAAGGAGGAGGAGGACGACGAGGAACATCAGTAGCAGAAGCAGGAGCTCGAGGATCTGGAAGAGCAGACGGGAACACAAGGGGAAGGTGAAGGAGTGGAACGGATCGAGAAGGAGGACCAGGGGAAGGCGGAGGAAGGGAGATGAGCGGGGCGACAATGACAAGGAATGATTCGGGTCCAGCATTGTGGCTCGCGCTGATGAAGGAGCGCCATCCTGAAGGGCGGGGGCAAAACGTCGATGCGACAGCTAGGCCAACGCTGGAGCGGGAACCAGCTTGAAACATCGAAGACGTTCCGATGACAAACAAACACCTGACACTATGAACAGCGGTTGCAGATGTGACGATTGATACAACAACAATATTATGCGCGAGAAGACGGGCCACGCGCAGGGTGGACCTGGCAAGAGAGGATAACAGTATTCATACTGAGAGGTTCGAGAGAAGAGGAACCATATTGAATTGGGTAGCGCAAACGAGTGACCAGAGGGCATGCCTCGCAGACCTCGCCGTCGCGTTCCGCCATGAGGGGCCATCTCCGAGCCAGGCTAGCCATGGCTCAACGATGTGGCCCTTCCCACAAAAGCCGATACCAGCACCATGTAGCAGATGATAAGGGGTGTATGACATGTAGCTGATTGCAGTGTGCTCTGGTTTGTCTCTACACTGAGGGCGTAGCTTTGCCTGCTGCCAGCGCGTCGTCAATGTCAGTGTCGCCTAATCGCAGCGATTGTAGCGGATAAAGTTGGGCTTAGCCTTCGTGTTCAGTTGCGCTTTCGCTGAGCAGCGTGAGCTCCTGTTGGCACTGCCTGCCTTGTCGCACGAGCCAAACCGTGTCCTGACGCTGAGATTCAGGTTCCAGGACTTCCTCGTACAGCGCAATGCGTTGCCATTGTCTGCCATCTGGCACGAGCTGATCCCTGCGTTGTAGCTGATGGTCCCCTCCCGAACGTTTTTGTTGGCACTGACAGCGTGCTGCCAATTGTCGCCTTCAATATCGTTGATCCTTGCATTGTACCCGACCTTCTCCCCGGGCCCCACGAGCGCTGGCATCGCTTGCTCCCCGTGCCTGCCTTCTCGAGCGAGCTGGCCCTGTGTGCTGCTGATGGCCCCCTCTCACGATCTCCCTTTTACACTGCCAGCGGCTGCCGCTGCCTGCCTTCTCGCATGGGCTGCTGTCTCCATCGCGTTCGAAGAAGCTTCCACGCTCGCATTTCTCGCACGAGCTGAATGCTGGGCTGCAACACATTATAGACATACATATATATATATACACACACACGACTACCACGAGCTCACGTTGTGCAGTGCCCCATCGTCTGCCCTTGCTTGCACTCTCGCACAAGGTCCCCGCACTGCAGCTGAGGATTCTTTCCCGCGAGCCTCTTGAGCGCAGTTGCCCTTCGCACCTCGTTGGAAAAACGACGGTCCCCCGAGGCACTGCAACTTTGCGTTCTTCGATGCATGCCGGCACGCATGTGATCCGTGTGTTCCATCTGTTTGCCAATGCGTCGTGATGGCGCGGTTTCGCTCGTTCTTGAGCGCTCACCTCGCAACCCCAGTTCACTCACGAGGAGGAGGAGGAGGAGGAGTGGGGAGGAGGAGCAGGAGCAGGAGGAGGAGCAGGAGCGGATGAGGATGGATAATGAGAATCAGAGTAATAGAACGAGGAGGAGGAAGAGGAGGAGAAAGAGGTGGCGGAGGAGATGGAGGAGGAGTAGGAGGAGGAGGAGGAGGAGGGGGAGGAGGAGGAGGAGGAGGAGGAGGAGGAGGAGGAGGAGGAGGAGGGAGGGAGGAGGGGGAGGAGGCCCTTCGGGCGCGGCGGCTGCCTTCCGTATGCTCGTCGTCCCCCACTGCTGCTTCGGTTCCACCGTGTGCCGAACGAGGACCCGCGCGGCACGCTGGCCAACCGGGAAGGCCGCGCCTCGCAGATGGCGGGGCTCAAGAGACGGGGGGTCCATGGCACACGTGGGATCGGCCAGAGCGTCCTGTCCTGGTGATCGTTTTCCTGTTCGTTGTTTTGCCGATCGGCGCGGGTCCTCGCAGCCCCCCCCCCACAGAGTAGATCTTGGCTGTTTTCGGCGAACGTTTCGATCAGTTGGGGTCTCCACCACTGGACGCACGGTTGCAAACAGTCGCACTATCGCCGCCTCCGATGGCTGGGGAGGCCTCCGATGGCTGGGGAGGCCTCCGATGGCTGGGGAGGCATCGAGGCCCACGCCCGGAGCGCGATGTCCGATGGTTCTTGGTCGCCGAGTCGGGGCAGGGCGGCACCGAATCGGGGCAGGGCGTTTTTTTTTTTGACGTGCGGCGTGCCCCCCTCGATCTGCGGTGCATGAGGCGAGTTCATGCTCGGCATTTAGTCGGTCCAGTACCTCTACAGGAGGCATGTTCAAAGATAGAGAAGCATAAGATGGCGACGACTTTTCTGTTATGTTCTGTCACTTTGGGGACCGTTTCTTAAAAACTATGTTTAAGTTGTCGTCAAACATCCGCCTGTAGGAGGACATGCCCGATCTAAGCTCAGCACGGGCAGTGATTTTTGCCTGGTGCGGGGTCGATCATCGCGCAACCACGCGCAGCGGAGGTCAACGCTTGACGGTGGCCGGCCAGTCCCTTCCGAGATCCTCTGGCGGTCCCTCGTGGCAAGGGAGATTTCGACATTGCTGCCCGAGTAGCGAGATCGAGGCGTGGCTCCCTCTTCCTCCTCCTCCTCCCCCTCTTCCTCCTCTTGCTGCTTCCCCCGGGTCGGGGTCTGGGGAGCCACGTGGGGCCGACCCCTCCTCCCCCCCGCGGGCCCAGATCCCCAGAGATCGGATGTCGTGCTCCTTGTTGTTCAAGACGGGCTCCCCGGAAGGGTCGACCCATTCCCCAGGACAGGTTTTTTTCCTCCTGAGCCGTTTCTTGACGGTCCCGAGGCCCGGCGAGGGCCCCCAGAGGCCGATAGCTACGAAAAACGTCCGTTTTGAGTCTTCAACACTTGGAATCTCTGGGTCTGAGAGCTGCTTTGTGGCCGGTCTTTGCTTGCGACACGGCCTTGGCTGCCAATGGCCGACCAGGGCCTGCGCGGACGGGGGCTGAGGGCACATTTTACGGGCTCGGCCAACGGGAGCCCAGCGCTCGCGGAGAGCCATTGGAGGCCACCGGAGGCCAGGGTCGGATGATCTACGTGCAAGGCAGGGGCGCGGAGAGGGGGGGGGCTTATCCAAGGGTCCGGCCTGTTCGAGCCGACCGATATCTGGGTCTACGATTAAGTCGGGCATGTCCCTCTGCAGGAGGAATATTCAAAGGTATTGAAAGCATTGTCTGGGGACGATGTTTAAAACATTATGTTTGGATATGTTTGACTAGTCTTCATTGCTCCAAAATCCGCCTGTGAGAGGATGTGCCTAACCTAATTCTACGAAGCGCCGGCGCGCAGAAGTGGGCGGCGCGAGGGGGGATGGGCCGTCTGAGAGGTCGGGGGTCTCCTCAGAATGCCGCGGAGGCTTCTAAGGAGGTCACGGGAAGCCAAACGTACCCCAGAGCAGACGTACCTTGGAGAGGGGCCTCAGTCAGAGGAGGAAAAGGTACGGTACCCATACCGCTACCCTTCGGCCGTTTTCCCCTTCTTGGGCTTGCCTGGAGGCCTTTGTCGCCACCATTCGCTTCGAAATTCTGGCCAGAACGCACCCCGGGAGAGGCCAAGGGAGTAGTGTAGCGGTATGTGTGCCTTCTGTTTTTTTTTCATTCCAGGCCCACCTCCGGGCGCCCAGCGGCTGGTTGCGGCATCTCCTTGGGTGTATGTCATTCTGGGGGTGCGCGTGGCCCTTCCCAAGAAGGCTCTTTGGGGAACCCGGCCTGGCTGCCGAGAAGCCCCTTGCCTTCTTCGAAGCTCCCCCGCCTTGGAGCCCTCCTCACGCCGCCCCCAAATTGTGCGTGTCGCCCAAAGGAACCAGTGTCAGACAGCAAGTCACGGACGCTTTCGCTCGTCTTGGATTGAGTTCTATCGGCGAGTAGCACCCAGCAGCGCCAAATAGCACCGAGTGGCGCCGAATAGCGCTCACATGGAGTCCAGCAGCGACCACTGGCGCCCGACAGCGCCACGTGAGGGTGATGTGCTTGGGATCGCGCAGTTGGGCGCCACGGGGACGACCCAAAGCTTCCCTGGGTTGTTTCCGAACCAGACCCCCGACGTCGTGATTTTTTCACAACGTCGACCCCTAGAGGTCTGGACCCCTTCCCGGGGACCGGTTTTTCATCCCGAGCCGTTTTTTGACAGTCCCGAGGTCCGGGAAGGGCACCCGGAGGCCGACAATAGCGAAACACCTCCCGTCGTGATTTGTTTCGCAGCGCGATGGGGTCTGTCTGGGGGAGCCTCCTTGGGGTGCACGGCGAGGGCACGGAGGCGGAGGGCGCGCGCGCGAGCGGGCCCGCGGGCCGTGGGCGGAAGAGGGCGGCACAGAGGTGCCGACGGGCGGAGAGCGCGCTGCGGGAGGCGGACGGTGGGCACTCCTCCTGCTCCTCCCGCTCCTCCTCCTCCTCCTGCTCCTGCTCCTCCTGCTCCTCCTCGTGCGGAGGAGTGCAAGGTCGCGTCGAGCGCGATGAACGACGCGGGCCGCGAGAGGTTGCCCGCCACTCGGCGGCCCTTGGAAGATGGCCACCCACGGCCAGGGCGCGGAAGCTCAAGAGGAGGAAGAGGTACCGTGCCCCCGCCCTCGCCTCGTTTTCCCCATTTTAGGCCTCCTGGGCGGCCTTCGTCCCCACCATTGGATTCGCCTTGAGAGCCTGGTTAGAACGCACCCCGGGAGAGGCCCGGGGAGTAGTGGATCGGTACCTTTTGGTTTTCCCAGAAACAAGGGCCATTCTGTGCTCAGGAGGGGGGGCGTTCACTCCATGCTCTCGTCTGCCGTGTTCGCCTCCTCCTTTCTCGCCTTCTCCCCCGTTTCCTCTGCAGAGTCTGCCTGTGCGGTTGCGGCCCTTATCTGTTTCAGTAGATCTCAGCTTGCAGCTTGGTCGTCGTCCTTTTGTCTACTGTTTGTCGATCGGCGCGGGCCCTCGCCCCCACCCCCCCATAGAGTATATTTTGGCTGTTTTGGGTGCCTGTCCTAGGCACGTGGAGTCTCCCCCACAGGACGCATTGCTGCAAACAGTCGCATGAAGCAGATGTCCAGAGCCAGACCCCCTACCTCCCCCCCTTTTCCACCCACTGTCGAAACGCCGAACACAGTGGAGGCCCATGCCAAGAAACACCCTGCTTGTCCAGGGTGCCCTGGGTGTCTTGGGTTTCGATGGTTTTGCTGTGGATGGCGTGACGCCCCCACACCAAATTTCAAAGGGTGTCCTGGGGTCTCAGAGTTGGGTTTCTTGTGGAAGGTTTCTTGTGGTCGAGCCCCTACTGTAAGAACACGTTCACTATACACTGTTAATTACGGCAGGTTCGCGTCGTGCCGACCAGCGGCAACCCCAGCGCGTGCTTTTAAGGTTGAACGCCGCCCGTGGCCCAGAATCGGTCCATCGTGGAACGATCCAGCGTTCACGGAACGGCCGACCTTTCAAGGTTGAACCATCCCCGCGGTGTCAGGAACCAACGCCGGGGTCGACACGACGCGAACTTGCCGTAATGTAAAACAGCGTCCTTTATACACTGTTAGCTTGCATTGCACATGGGACTGGGCTGCTCTGTCTTCCCGAGATTTGAGTCGGGCATGTCCTTCTACAAGGGGAATTTGCAAAAATAGTAAAGAAAAATAGTCAGGGCACGATTATTCGACTCGGTATGACTATGTTTGAGCATTTTTCCCGGAAAGGGCTCGAGCCCAGGGTTCTCTTTTAGAGGTTTACCCCCAGATCTGACGGCTGATGGGCCGGCGAAATTATTCTGCGATAGATTACGTGCGGGAGTAGGGCCGGCGGAATTAATTTTTGAGGATGTCTCGAGCGAAACGTTTGTTTTTCAGAATTTGTTGAGGATGTCTCGAGCGAGACGCTGGTTTTGCAGAGTTGGGGATGTCTCGAGCGAAACGCTTGGTTTCAGAATTTGTTGAGGATGTCTCGAGCGACACGCTGGTTTTGCAGAGCCGACCGCGACATGGAAAAGCGCCCCTCGCGCAGGAATTCCAAGGATGTCTCGCGCGTGCCGCGTCGCGAACGTCGCGTGGCGCGTCCCCCTGGAACGTCGCGTGGCGCGTCCCCTGGCACATCCCGTGGCACGTCCATTGGCACGTTCCGTAGCGCGTCCCCTTGGCACGTCCCGCGGTGCGACCCCATGGCACGTCCCCTGGCACGTCGCCTGGCGCATCCCTTGGGACGTTTCGCGGCGCGTCCTCCTGGCATGTTCCCTGTCCATTAGCTCTGGGGCAGCTACTATGTGTTCAGGCAGCTCGAGCTTAAGATCCAGATCAGTTCGGTCAGGACTCGGATGCAAAGGAGGACTCGATCCACGAGGCTATAGAGCACAGTCGCGCCATGGCACATCGCAATTCAGCACGGCGCAGCACAGCACTGATTTCGGCACGGTACATCAAGGTCGATACACTCAGCATTGCAACTTGGCACGTTCCTTGGCACGTTCCGTGGGGCGTCCTTTGGCGAGTCCCCCTGGCACGTCGCGTGGCGCGTCCCCTGGCACATCCCGTGGCACATCCATTGGCACGTTCCGTAGCGCGTCCCCTTGGCACGTCCCGCGGTGCGACCCCATGGCACGTCCCCTGGCACGTCGCCTGGCGCATCCCTTGGGACGTTTCGCGGCGCGTCCTCCTGGCATGTTCCCCTGTCCATTAGCTCTGGGGCAGCTACTATGTGTTCAGGCAGCTCGAGCTTAAGATCCAGATCAGTTCGGTCAGGACTCGGATGCAAAGGAGGACTCGATCCACGAGGCTATAGAGCACAGTCGCGCCATGGCACATCGCTATTCAGCACGGCGCAGCACAGCACAGCCCTCGGTAGGGTACATCAAGATCGATACCTTCAGTATTGCATTTGCCCGTCACCCAATCAGGTGTCTTTGAAAACGCTGCCATGTGTTACAAGCGTTTTTCAGAATTTGTTGAGGATGTCTCGAGCGAAACGCTGGTTTTGCAGAGTTGGGGGATGTCTCAAGCGAAACGCTTGGTTTCAGAATTTGTTGAGGATCTCTCGAGCGAAACGCTGGTTTTGCAGAGCTGACCGCGACGCGGAAAAGCGCCCCGTGCGCAGGAATTCCGAGGATGTCTCGCGCGTGCAGGGATTTCGAGGATGTCTCGACTAATTCGCTTGTTTTGCCAGGATTTCTTTGGATGTTGACAGAATGTCTCTAGCGAAACGCTTGTTGGTCAACATTTGTTGGGGATGTCTCTAGCGAAATGCTGGTTTTGCAAAATTGGGGGATGTCTCGAGCGGGGGCCTCGTGGGGGGCTGTGTGGGGTGCCAGAATTCAGAGGATGTCTCAGGCGAAATGATTGTTTTCACATCCCGCCCGCAGGAATTCCGAGGAGGTTTCGCGCGTGCCGCGTCCCGCGCGCAGGAATTCTGAGGATGGCAGGATGTCTCGAGCGAAACGTTTGTCCCCAGCACGTTCCGTAGCGCGTCCCCTTGGCACGTCCCGCGGTGCGTCCCCATGGCACGTCCCTTGGCACGTCGCTTGGCGGGTCCCTTGAGACGTTCCGCGTCGCGTCCTCCTTGCATGTCCCCCTGTCCATTAGCTCTGGGGCAGCTATTATGTGCTGAGGCAGCTCGAGCTTAAGATCCAGATCAGTTCGGTCAGAACTCGGATGCAAAGGAGGACTCGATCCACGAGGCTATAGAGCACAATCGAGGCATAACACATCGCAATTCAGCACGGCGCAGCACAGCACAGATTTCGGCACGGTACATCAAGATCGATACACTCAGCATTGCAACTTGGCACGTCCCTTGGCACGTTCCGTGGGGCGTCCCTTGGCGAGTCCACCTGGAACGTCGCGCGGCGCGTCCCCTGGCACATCCCGTGGCACATCCATTGGCACGTTCCGTAGCGCGTCCCCTTGGCACGTCCCGCGGTGCGTCCCCATGGCACGTCCCCTGGCACGTCGCCTGGCGCATCCCTTGGGACTTTTCGCGGCGCGTCCTCCTGGCATGTTCCCCTGTCAAGTAGCTGTGGGGCAGCTACTATGTGTTCAGGCAGCTCGAGCTTAAGATCCAGATCAGTTCGGTCAGGACTCGGATGCAAAGGAGGAGCTCGATCCACGACGCTATAGAGCACAACCGCGGCATGCCACATCGCAATTCAGCACGGTGCAGCACAGCACAGCCCTCGGCAGGGTACATCAAGATCGATACACTCAGCATTGCATTTGCCCGTCACCCAGTCAGGTGTCTTTGAAAACGCTGCCATGTGTTACGGTTCTATATTCCTTTCCGGGTTCGTGGGTCGATCATGTTTGTGTATTTGTTTTCCTCAAATCCGCCTGTAGGAGGGCATGCCCGACCCAAGACTGGGCTGTTCTATCTTCGGGGGCAACGATAGGGGGAGATAGGCATAGGGGGGATGCATCGACCCCCAATCGCCCATCGATCGCCGATAGGGACCCGAAAGCCCCACCCCGCCCACGAAGCTGCGGACTCACTACAGGGGGCCTATCGCCGATCTATCGACGATGTATCGCCGATTCCAGGCCGATGCATCCCCCCTTATGCCTATCCCCCCCTATCGTTGCCCCTCACAACAGCAAGGCGGCAGCGAGCGAGGGGAGGAAGTAAGACAGGGCGGGCCTTCTCAGACGGTTCGGACTTCCCAGGGCCTTCTGAGAGGTGTGCTGAGCCTTCCCCGGACAAAAACAGGGGAAGCCGTTCCGAGAGGGCGCGAGGGCGTCTGAGAAGCCCCGAACTGAATTGAAACGCCGTGTCTCTACGACTCATCGGCTGCAGTGCTAGCGCGACGGCCAAGGAGGCGTCTGTCCTTGCCACTGCGGAAAAAGAAGAAGCAAGGTTTCAGTCTCAGCATTCACGTGACAGAGACATGTCGCTTGACGATTGCCTTCCAGACTGTCTTCCACTGAACCACCCACTAAGCCACTTCCACTCCCCACCGACGTGTGAGAAGCCCCGCCCGCCACTGAACCACCCGCTCCGAGAGGGAAGGAGAGAGGGCGGGGACCTGGCCTCCAGGCCGCTCCCCCGCCCCATCCGGCGGCTGGTGGAGGGCCTGCCCGTGGCCGAGAGGCTCGGCCGGGCCAGCGAAGCCCCCCCCCCGCCGTGTGCCGTACCCGTCGGCGGCCAGCGAGGGGGGGGGGGAGAAGCGAGAAGTCTCGGCGTCTGTTCCATGGGGGCCTCTGGCGGCGACGCGGGAATCGGCTTCTCCTGCATCTGGACCGCGTATGGGGCCGCATTGGGCCCATGCTGCTGCTCCTCCTCTCCCCTCCTGTTCCCCCTCCTCCTCGTTCTTGTAGTCCCCGCGAACCCACTCCAAACTTGATCCAAATCTGGTTTAACTTTGTTTCAAATCTGGTCCAACTCAGGCCCAAATCAGACAGCTCTGGGGGCTACGCAGGCTCCAATGGAACGGACACCAAAAGAAGGAGAGGTCCTTCTCAGAAGTTTGAGGTTCGAGGTTTTCGGGTTCGAAGTTCGAGGTTCGAGGTTTTCGGGCACTTTCGTAGTTTCTCGGCG